CTATCAACCAAGGTAAAACCAGGAAAATGACAATAGGAGTAGTAGGTGATTTAGGGTTCAAGTGCAATTAGGAAGTAAGAATTGAAAAAACATTTTATTTTCTGCTACCCCTGGTAAAACTTGCTTGTGATTCCTGTGCTCTGCTAGCAGGCAAACAAGAGGAGTAACTTTCTTGGTAATCCAAAACCAGCCAAGCTAGCCCCTCTGAAATACTATCAGCTTTAACTAGGGCACTCTTATTTTCTTCACTACCAAAAAGAAGAGCTCTTTGTTACCAAAGGACAAGTCTTTGAATATACAGAAGTGGTTGCCTCAAGGTTACACAGAAGGAATCCTGAAGAGAGCAACTGGACCACGTTATAGTACAAAATTCAGCTTGGTCAGCCCTTACAGAGTCTATGTTTATCTCAACAAAAAAGATTGGAGGAGACAAGTAAATGATAAAACCGCACTGCCATGTCTAATCCTGATGCACGCCTGGGTGCTTTGGTGGGCACTCAAGATTTAGAGGGCCCTTAATGATGATAAAGGACTGGCTCATGGTAGCAGCTGACTTTTATCTGCAAAAAAATATGAATAAGAGTTATTTTCAGCAATTGACTTTTATCTTAGAAAAGATATCTGGAAGAAACTCAAGTAAGGTACTCAAAAATATCTCAGTCCTCTTCAATCAGAGAAGAAAGGGCTACAAGCCATTTAGCATTTCAGAACTTGATGCTTAGGAGGGGCAGTGAGGAGTAAAGAAACTATTCACCACTTGGTCAAAGTATTACTCTTCTACAGTAACTTTACTGTTTGTTTCCCAAATGGTTCAGGTAATCACGGGGAGCCAACAACAAAAACCTGCCACATCTCTGCTAGCTGTTTGAGAGGAGGCAATTTCTTTGCATTCCCTTCCCATTGCCATTTCAGGTCTCATGGATCTTGTATGTTTCAGACTACTACTGGTCCATATATCAAACAACACTTACCTCATTCATTCTAGCTATATGAATTTATGAACATCATTTTAATCATTTTAAGCATCCTAATGATCTCCAAGCCTGGATATCTTGCTTTCTCCTTTGTAGTCCTTCCAAACGTTCACTATCCTGATGAATGGAAAATATCTAATCTAAATTTCCCTTCCTGTAATTTTAGCCTGCTGCTTTTATCTTATCCACCATGGACAGAGAGAACAGATTATGGTTTTTTCCTCTGAAAGCACTCTTGTAATTATCTGAAGACAGATTGTTTGATAAGTCTTCTCTAAATTAAATAACCCAAACTATTTTCAGCCTTTCTCATAAGCAAATCGAAAATGCAGAAATCCATGTTTTCCAAAGAGCTGTGCAATGATTATTTGGACTACTTGTCACCATGCAAGAAGGAAATTTTCAAGGCTTAAAGACCATACATTTTGGGATCCAGAGCTAGAAATATCTAGATTCAAATCCAGCTTCTACTTTTGCCAGTCTGTCTGGTGCAGGGCAAATTGCATCTCAGCTCACTGCTTCTTCACTTGATAGACAGGCCTAGAAACATCAATTTCTTTAGCTTAACATAGCATGCACCAAGGTAATAAAAACTGGGGATAAGTGTGCATGCTGTGGAGTGTAGCAGAAGAGCTGATTGCTTTGACAGAATTCCAAGCAGACAGATGGTCTCTTTCAGAAGTAATTTTTATTTTATTTTTTTTAGATACTCCAGGTATCTCTTAAAAAATAAAATAATTAAAAAAGAAATCTTCACAACAGTGACTATATCAAACTGCCAGAAACTCAGTAGTTTCCAAGTAACTATGGAGAAATGCAGGAGTTTCAAAACACCTGGAATCCTATTGATAAGTATCAATATCTGAAACCCTTCAAGGAAATGATTAAATTATTTTGTGTAAAATCACTGTGACTCATGGGTGTCCTACCAGCAAACTGTCTGAGTCTGCTGGATCTTCTCTAAAATAGGTGTATTCCTCCTCAACACCATTAAAGTGATGATTACAAAAAATCAGAATAATTTTTAGGTAGGGTTACTCTTTTGATTTTCTTATTGCAACAATGGAGATCCACAAGGAAATACTCAGTGTTTCATACCTTTGAAATTTTTTCTTACAAAATGGATCTTTCTATATGATCACATTCCCATACATATACTGACCATAAGACTCTGTATTGAAGCTGATTATGCAGTTTTCTAGGCTTCCTAATTTAAAAGAGAAATATTTGTTTTGTTCTATGTTTAAGATACTAAATTATTAGAATGAAGCTATCTGCTACAAACATCACCAAGAGTGATTCCAGAGTTATTTGAGTGATATTTCAGAGGATTTTCTTAAATAGTGAAAATATTTAGAGACAGCAGTATAACTCAATTTTACTCTTTACTGAAAGAATGAGTCTCATACAGGTAGATGTAACCAGGCAAACAGAAGTTAGTTTCTTTTGTAAAAGGAAGCGGGTAGTGATTAAACTACAGCCTGCAGGTGGGCCAAGCCCATTTGCAAACATTCTTCACATCAGATATTCACTCATACATGACTTTTTGGTCATCAAAGTGCTATACTCACTCTGCAGTCACTCCTACATGGTTCAAGGAGTGCTGAGGTGCATCTCATGGGTCATACTGCCTAGTACCACTCTAGGGGTTGCTCTGAGGAGTGTTGTGGCTGAACTTGTCTGTTCTGGTCCGTCTCCATCTTCCTAGACTATCGGTTTATTTAACTGAGTTATATCCTGCTCAACGTGTTCAACCTGTGCTAACTATAAATCTCTCACAAGTAGGTGAAGTAGTTCAGACTTCAGCTGTGGTCTCCTTGCGCCAGGATGCAGCTTGGAATAGTAGCAATAGTGAGGAGAGCAGGCTGGCCAGACGCAGAGGTAACTGACATGTACTGCAACAGTGATAAATTCCCTTTACACACACGCACACTATCTTAATGCAAACCAACCACTCATTACTTGCAAGAGCAGCAATGCCTCARTTTTGTCAGGAAACATTTTTAATCAAGGAACTTATCTTGCAATACCAAGAAAATCAAGTTTTCTATTGTTTGAGGGAAGAACAACTGTGACAGAGGCCTATGATCAGTAACAATTTAAATGCAACTTCAGGCAAAGGAAGTTGACACTTGAAAGTGTCTGCTTTCTGAAGACTACAAGAAGGAACAACTTTTCCAGGCCTGTGGGACCAGACCATGTTTCTGTAGGAACAAGTTATCTCTCTATGCAGTGCATCAGGAAATAAAGACATGAGATATGGAAGTGGGTTTAGCTTTGCTCAGAAATTTCACCTTTTCTTCATGCTACATTATCCAGGACCACTCCCAAAGCAATGAGTTGAATTAGGGCAGGAGTTTCCTCAAAATAAAATGACTTGTTGCCTCTTATAYCAAGAAGGACTAGTCTATCCATCACTTAGTTCCCTTCATTAACATAGCAACTGGGACTGGTGCTGCAGGCAGTGTGGCGCTGTGCCATACACAGTATAGCTAGTATTACAGTGGGATGCACATAAGGCACAGGCTGCCTTCAAATGACATGTTGACTACATGCCAGCATTGATGTTTCTCCACCCAAGTAACCAGGCCTACAAGCAACGCTTTTATTCTGTCTCAGTCATTGCAAGGATTAGGCTCAATAGAGCAGCTCTTGGAAAAATATCTAGGGCTCCCCACCAGCAAGTGCATGAGCAAGGAGACAATTCCGGGAAATGCACTTGTCTGAGAGTGTCAGACTTGCAATTCATGTTGGATCCAAGGTTGCAGAAGGACAGAGAAGTCACTCAAGTGATAACAAAAGGCCATGATAGTTACCAACATCTGTCTCTTCTGTTGTATGCGTGATCAGGACCTTGTCTTTTCTACACCTGTGGGCTGGGCCTGGCATGGAGCTGCACAATAAGAAAAAGTAAAAAGTGCTTTCTGCAGGAAACTTGCCTGAAASCGGAAATCAGTCTTCCCTTATAAAAAATCTCAAGCAATAGGTACTTTTGCTTGCATATGGCCTGCATCACATCACATCAGGCCTCATCCTGGTTAGAAGGTTGTAAGGCACAGTGTAGCTCCCCTSTTACTTGAAATTGTCTTGGATTTCTCTGCCAGTCATTGCACAGCCTATAAGGAAATGCATATGCTTGCAATACAGTTTCCCCACCCTTTCAATGGAGATACAGTAGCTACTTATTCAGGGCTGTTCAGTTTTGCCTGAGCTAGTACTCAGCCAACCTTTGGGCCTTGGCCATGGGCTCTGCTCCTCCTCTGCTGCAGCCCGTGTGGCCATTGGGTGCTCTCTTGGCCTCCTGCTGCAGCACTCCTGGTACACCGAACTAAGCCGAACTCCTGGTAGCACAGTTGGCTAAGGCGTCCCCCATCACACCCTGGAAGACTTTCATCTCTTCTAAACTGTGAATAACGCATTACCTCCCCTGCCCATACCTAATGTATCATGCCAGGTGCCTCTGCCCACACCATGGAAGGTAGCTACATGCGGAGCTCTAGCCAGACAGAAACACACTGAGGCATCCTGTCCCTGCTCCTGCTGCTTGGCTCCGCATGGAAATGGAGCCGGCTGTCTAAGGCCGCTGGTGAAACATGACCAGGTGTGTGTAAATATTATACTTAGCTATTAAAATTGCTGAATGGAACGTGTGTGGGAAAGAGCTAGGTGAAAGTCCCAGAAAATACCTATGAGCCACCTGGTTTTACTTGGTCCCAACTTACGCACATTTCTGGAGAGGCAACCTTCGGTTCAGGCCACAAGTACAGCTCAGTTTAATGTGATTTTATCTAGGATTTAGCCAAATGCAATCTGCCTAGGAAAAAATTTGCAGAAGACAGCTTCTTGAACACAAACAAGGAAAACAAGTAATACAAACACTATAGCAAAGTATCTTATAGTTCTGTTAAGAGTTGGATCTCTCAATATCCCTTTGGAATTTAACTTCACTGGGGAAAATGTTAACTGAGCTACCTGTAACGTGAGAAATCAGCCCAGATGGGTCATCACCTGCATACTCACATGAACTCCCTTCCGCACTTCTGTAACCGAGACCTTCCTGTTCACTGCTGCCTTGTTCTGGAACTACTCACAGCAGCACAAGTCATGAAATGTCATCTCACCTGTAAAAATGAGCAAGCAGAACAATTTTTTTTTCCCGAGATTAAAAGGAATATTCCATTTTCATATTTTGAAAACAGTATTTACAAATCCCAAAGTGACACTGTGGGAGAGATTACAATTAGAGTAACCAGGTAATAAACACAAGGAATGAATAAAGGCTTTGAATACAATTAATACTTATTTACTATTGATCTAAACATTTTGTTTTTCTTTCAAGTGGAGGTCTGTGAAAAAAATCCATTTTGCTCTGTCAGAAATTACAAGAGTTGGAGGAATTCAATGTGTGTTATCTTTGATCCACCCCTTCTGCAATCATTGTATCTTTGCACACTACTAAGGGCAAAAGAAAGGAAAAATTGACTAATTAAGYTTCCAAAAAAAGATGAGGAAATACATCTGAATGTTCATCTGAATGTTTAATTCAAATAAATAGAGTGGCCTGTTACTCAGACCCTGGAACAGCTCCATGCAAATGAGTAAGAGAACATGCTTGACTCAGTAAAGTTTATTTTTTCCTGGTATTCATATAATCAATGACACAAAACATCATGACATCAAAGATCAGGCCTAAATGTTCTTTGGTTAAACATTACGAAATAGCTCTCTAATTGCTCTCCAGAAAGCCACAAGCCCTGGCTCTCATCTTTATCTTCTTGGCCTGAGGCTCTGAAAATCTGTAGTTTCCCAGMTGGGCCAAGCCATCTGATGAATTCCACCCAGGTGTGGTCAGTGAGTTTTGTAAAATCTCAATGCATATTCAAGATATGAAGTGGATCAATCCAGTGTGGACAGAACAGACCTGTTTCTGAGAGATGACATACTATTTTGCCGTCACTCTGTTTTCCCCAGCAAAGAGAAAACATGAAATGAGCTTTCTTGTTGCCAATTGCCTGAATGACTGATCAGAAACCAGGATCTGACTCTGGTCAAGTATGTACGTAGGCCCTGGGTATAGAGCATGTGACTCTTGCCTRTGGTAAACACAGAGATGACACTGGTTCTCATAGGCACTCCCATCAGTGCCTCATAACAAATGTTTATTTAAAATGCTAATTGTTTTGGGGAGGTGAGGAAAACAAAGAGACTGAAAAAAACATGGAAGAAATACAGCTCAGTGTGTTGTTATTCAAATTTTCATATGGAAATCCATGGAGAAGGGAAATAGGAACACACCAAGATGTACTATATTCAGCAACACTGTCTTGTGTRCATGGTGCCTCATGCAGCCCTGTGCTTTTGAAATTTGCCCAAGGGAAGAGCTTAACATAAGAAAATTCAAGGAAAGCTCCTTACATTACCCTTTATGCACGAGCTAAATGAAAGCTGTCATTATCAGATAGGAGCAAACAACTCAGCRAAGGGACAGGTATTGTACTTTTTCGGTTTCAGGAGATTTTTGTTTTAACTGTATTTAAATAAACATCATAGATGAAGTTCAAGCTGCCCCAGGAAGCCTTAAGTCCTTTTGTACAGTCCTTTAAGTCACATAGGTACTGAGCAGATCAAAAGCATCTCCCCAGTCTTTCCTTTATGGAGGAAGATGCCATGGAGGTGATACAACATGTAAATGTGTTGTAGCACWCAAATGCCTTCTTAGATTTTGCTTTGAGGGAGCTTTGACTTCAATCAGCAACAAACATTTCAAATGAATCAGTTCCACCTGGGGAGCAGTGGTGGTCACCACGACAGAAATATAAAGTCCTATTTGATCCAACAGACTAAGTACCAAAACTAAAACTTTCCATTGAAAAGCCTATTTAATTGGTATTATTCATTACTCTTTCTTTTACAAGACAAACGATGCCATTTCCAGATGTCAAATCACATGTGAGTTGTGAAATTTATTTCTATCCTCCTGTATGAAGGGCAAACAGATCTGCAGAAAAAGTGCAAACAGTAAAAATAAAAACCTTTCAGAAAGTAAAGCCATTTCCCGCTACTGGAGAGCTGTATTGTTCATAGCCATGAACAGTATTACTTCATCCATATAACAAGATAAACAAAGGAAAATCTTACATACTTTGGAGAATATCCATATAAAAACCTGAATGCTAAACTGCTAACAGCTGTACCTTCATATGTGCTTCTGATATAAAAACTGTAAGCATAACTTCTGCAATTGTGTGAAAATGTTTTACAAGGTAGTGAGTTCTTTTTGCATACCATTTGCAAGCACACTTACAATTAATGCAAATGGTTGCAGTCTTAATTCCCTCCATAGCAGCTTTTAATGTGTTTGTTGAAGGAAAGTCTTCCATCTTCTTTTGTTTTATACAATCTTTGTTACTGAGGCTGGTTTTAACAAAGTTCAAAATTGTCCACAACTGTGGGAAAAAGTATGAATACTCCAGAAATAGCAGCAGCAGCAACTAGATATAAATGCATCATTCCTCACTTCACGTTAACTCCAAGCACAGGCCATTAAACTCAGTTACCAGGAGTAGAGAATGTGCTGCCTTCATTAGGAGGAATCACTGTTACCGTAATTTATGTAGTTTTCCGTAAACCACCTGGATTATGAGCCACTTTTATCTTCCATGGCGAAAATGCTGGATGCACTGGCACCAGTGGAAATTTTACCTTTACCTTCGGTGGGCCAATATTTAATTTTGCARAGGTACACTGTGTCATCACAAAATACTATCCCTAATTGATACAACACAAAAATAAAAGAAAGAAAATTAAAACAGTTATGAATCCAGGAATAATCCTGTAGTGAGATGAGATTGCTTGGAACCATATATGCCACTTGCACAAAATTTTGGCTTACCTAAAGGAAGGCATCAAACAAGAGTCGTGGTGTTTTATTCCAAATAAGGACAGAGGGTTAAAGACTTTTTTAACCTGAGGACTGGAAGCCAGATCCAGCAAATGCTGCAGGCAGTGGAACACACAGTATGTGCTTAGCCCCGCGGAAATCTGCTGCTGATGAGACTCCCCTGGTACCTTTGAACACATTAGGATAACGTTGCAGAATCAATAAACAAACAGCACCAACAAATACCAATAAATGTTCTTTTCAACACCCATCTGCTCCATGTAACTCTCCCCCAACGGCCACTTCCAACGGCTGAGGGGGCGTGGCCTCCGCCCAACGCCCGCCCCCACGCGAGGGGGCGTGGCCGCCCGCCCAACGGCCGCTCCCAACGGCCGCCCCGCGCGAAGGGGCGTGGCCTCCCGCCCAAGGGCCTCCCGGCACAAGGGGGCGTGGCCTCCCGCCCAACGGTCGCCCCGACACGGGGGGCGTGGCCTCCCGCCCAACCGCCGTCCAACGGCTGCCGCCGCACACCGCCTACTTTCGGGGTGGAGGCGAGCTCTGACGCCCGCCTGCGCAGCCGCCATCGGGTTTGCCCCCGCCTCGCCCCGCCAGCCATGCTGCCCTTGCGGGCGCTGCGCCGGCCCGTGGCCGCCTCCTTCGCCCGTCTTGTACGCGACGGGGCCCGGGACCGACCGCAGGTGACAGCCGGGGCGGCGGCGGAGCGGGGGGAGGGAGAGAGGGGTGGGTCGGGTCGGCGGAACAAGAGGAGGGCCGCGGAGGAGGGGCGGGGCCTCGGAGGGGCGGGGCCACGGAGGGGCGGGGCCTGACAGGATACTTGACATGGAGATCTGTTGCTCACCACTCCCTGCCCCCCCTAAAAATACCAAATCTTTAATAAAAATGCTGGAGTCTCTCAATAGGACAGGATGATGTTCTTGTGACTTGAACTTTAGTTATTTTTTCTTAACATTTTCTGTTAGGTGTCTGCCTCCTTTGCTACAGGGCCCAGACAGGACAATGGTATTTTCTACGAAATCCGCACCTATGAGGTCAAGCCATCGAGAATGAAGGAGTTTGTGGAGCTGGTCAATCAGCACATTCACCTTCGCATGGCCCATTCGGAGCTGGTGGGCTTCTGGACCACGGAGCTGGGTGCAATGAACAAGGCCATCCATATCTGGAAGTATGGTAGGCTCTGCATCCCTGCACACTGCTCTGGCCTCTCGGTGCTCTTGCAGGTGGGAGGAGAGTGCTTCTTCAGATATAACTGACTTTATGTGTCGTTGGAGTCATTGCCCTCATGGAAGCTGCTGCTAACCAAAGAAAGCTCCTGTCTGGGGATAAACTGCATGTGCTGGCTGTGCTGTTTTGAGGGCACTCAGGTATCCAACCCTGAGTTCAGGAATCATATTATTATTATTATGGTTGGAAGAGACTTTCAAGATGGAGCCCAACCATAAACCCATCACCACCCCGCCAGTTAATCCATGGTCCTTAAGCGCCTCATCTACACATTCCTTGAGCATTGCCATGAACGGTGACTTCACTGCTTCTTTGGACAGCCAGTTCCAAAGTTTCACCACTCTTCCCATGTAGAGTTTTTTTGTTAGTAACCAACCTGAACCTTCCCTGACTCAATTTGAGGAGTTGTGCCAGGAGAGTTGGGAAGCCCTGCGAAAATCACATATTTTCATACTCTCTGTAATTTAGTGTATGTTTGTGTACCAAKAAAGGAAGAGTTTTGTTTCTAATTCAATCCATTATTTGAAATTAAGTATTTTTAGTGTTACCYCTTTTTCTGTGAAGGAGTAAAGGAAATTGCTATCTGCAGACCACAATTTTATGAATATTAATGTGTCTGTGAGGAACACATCCTCTGCCTTCCCTACATTTATCTTCTTTCTGCTGTTGTTTTTTTTTTAATTTGGTTAATTCTTAAACCCAGTTTTGTTAGTCTTTTAGATGCTTATAAACTCTAAAAAGGAGAAGAATCTTACATATTTGTTTGTTCATTTCCTGATAATGTTTCTGCATTTGAAGTATAACATCCTTATTTCATCATAGTCCYGCTCATATCTCTTTAATAGGTTAAAATAACTGGGTTTTTTGTTTGCTTTTCAGTCCCAAGATAGTGACACTTCTCAAGGATCTTCCCATTCTCAAATGTTGTATCTTTTTTCCCTATTATTTTTATTTAAAGCTGTGTGCATAAATGCATTGCACAATATTTTATTACTGCATAAGCAGTTCAAATTCGGTGACTCTTTATTGAAGGAATCTTACAGATTAAACCAAAGTATGTAAAAGCATAGTGTATTGGAATTTAATATCTTTTTATAGAGAAAAGAATTATTTCTACATTTGACAGTTTAATTTTGCATAAGGCAAAAGTAAGCATTTAAAAAAAAATCTGGCTAGACTACTATATTTCCTTCATTTTAATTTTCAGTTCACTTCTTGCCCACTGCCMTGACTTCAGACCACCTTATCCTTCATAACTCTTGCCATTTAATCAGGTGTAACTGCAGATATCACATAGAAATTCTTCTTAACATAACATAGCTTACTATATGTTAAAGCTTTTATAAACCTTCCTGTAAATTTGGCCTGAAACCCCCTTAATCTTGAGAACTAAGATTTTTTCAGTTTAAAGGAGTTTAAAATATTTATTTCAAACTAATACTCTGAAAACCCAAGCTTCACACTTGTTTGTGTGCAGTTTGCCTCCTAATAATGAACCTTTATCTTGAGTCTGTTGTGGTGTAGATTGYACTTCTCAGAACTCAATACAGTATGTAGACGTAAAGATTTTTTTCCTTTCTTCCAGATAATTTTGCCCACAGAACAGCAGTACGGACTGCACTGGCCAATGACAAAGATTGGCAGGGAAAGTTCATTTCTCCAGCTCTCACCTGTATAGAAAAACAACATAATGAAGTTGCTTATCTGGTACCCTGGTGTCAACTTGGGAAGCCTCCAAAAGAAGGCGGTGAGTTTATCTTCTGTTTTGTTTATTTAAGTTATTGATGCTGACTGACTAACACAAAGTAGCTTAATGTTTGAACTGAATATTACATCTTTTTATAAGCCTTAAAATAACAAGAGCACACACATGCTTCCATGGGAAAAAGGTTATATCATGGAGATGAGGTACAAAGTTTCTAAGAAAGATTTTTATACAGAAGCCTATGTCAGTAACAGGCCAGCAGGTCTGCTTGTTCAGGTTGTGAAAAAAATAGTGAATTGGGTAACTGAATAGTTAAAATTGACTGCTTTGTAGTAGGATAACTTCCATGCATCTTTCATTTATTTAATGGGTTTCTTGTTACTCATTCTTCCGTATKGTAGCTTTAAGGAAAAAAATCAGTAAAACTACTATTTAAAGATATGTGCAAGAGAAATATACTTTGTAAATCATAGATTAAGTTATTTTCCCACTGTTAGGTATTTTGATTTCTCAGTGCTGGATATGTAACGCTTGGACTATTCACCCATATATGAAAATGCACAGACTCTTTTGTTGCTGTTAAGTGGAATCTTTTCAGAACTGTCTTGCCTGAGCAGTTGGCATGTACATACAATAATCTCTGTTCTTTGTTTCACTGAAATTGATTTTTATCCTGTGTTACAACTGAAATCATTAGCATCCAGTTTTCTGCTAAAATTGGATGGCTGACTATTCAACCATTTCATCACTTTTTTTTCCCTCTAGTCCCTCATTGAAGAATTTAAAAAAGAAGTATTGCCTTGTGTCAATTTCCTTGATTGTTAAAAGTGTCAGTGGTTAAGGTCTGTTGTAACTACCTGCATGGAAATCAGACAGATAACATCTTGTACCACAACTAAGAAAATTATTTGGCAAATCATAAAATTATTTTTTACTAGCTATGATAAGGTAGTCTTTGTATATTGGTTGTTGTTTCAGGTGTGACTGATAAAAGTTTACAAKGTCAGAAAAAGCTTCTGTTTCAAAAGCCATCACCAATCTAAGAATAAGTTAGCTTAGTTCAGCCATCTAAAACCCACAGAGGAGTTGTGTTTGCGGCTTCTGCAAAAAAGTCTAATTCACCCAAAATTTTCAGCAACTGTTTGCCGTTAAGTWGGGCTTCATGTGAGGCTTTTCGTTCCTCTCAGCAGCTATACCTTTACATAACAATGAAATACTTCGAATTAAACAGCAGCTGTTTCCTCGTGACTGTAGGACCTGTGGGATGCAGTGAACTCTGGGATCAGGCAGAAATTTCTTGGTTTGCCCCCCAAATGACAGGGAATTGCTATTCCAGGCTAACAGTCAATTTCATGACCGTGAAAGACTGAGAATAGGCTGCTAATTTGTACTTCTTACTTTTAAGTTTTCTTTGCCCTTTTCTCCAGGAGTGTATGAATGGGTTACTTTTCAGATGAAACCTGGTGGGCCAGCTCTCTGGGGTGAAGCATTTCGAGCTGCAATCAGCACTCACATCAACACAGGCTACACTAAGCTCATCGGTGTTTTCCACACGGARTATGGGTTACTTAATACAGGTACAATTACTGATAAATTTCTTTTGCAGACTTTGGCACAGAGGGGCAAATGCTTATCCTGCCTGAGGACTGGCTGTTTGATCAAATGCCATGTGGGTCCCCTGAGTTCTGTAAACAGTCCTTGAACTCAGTTTTGTGTGTTGGTTTGTARGCATAAGCAGGATGGTACTATTTGAGAAAAATATTCACAGATTCACAGAATATTYAAGGTTGGAAGGGACCTCTACAGRTCATCTAGTCCAACCTTCCTGCTCMAGCAGGCACACCTASAGCATGTGGCACAGGGYRGCATCCAGGCGGGTTTTGAAGACCTCCAGAGTAGGAGACTCCACAACCTCCCTGGGCAGCCTGTTCCACTGCTCTGTCACCCTCACAGTAAAGAAGTTCCTCCTCACCTGGAGACAGAACTTCTTATGCTTCAGCTTGTGGCCATTACCCCTCGTCCTATCGCTGGCCACCAGTGAGAACAGCCTGTCCCCTTCCTCCCTGCATTCTCCCTTCCTGAACTTATACATATTAATCATATCCCCTCTGAGCCGTCTCCTCTCCAGAGAAAACAGGCCCAGCTCACTCAGCCTCTCTTCATACGAGAGATGTTCCATTCCCTTAATCATCCTGGTTGCCCTTCTCTGGACCCTCTCGAGAAGCTCCACATCGCTCCTATACTGGGGAGCCCAGAACTGGACACAGTACTCCAGGTGCGGCCTCACCAGAGCTGAGGAGAGGGGCAGAATCACCTCCCTTGACCTGCTGGCAACACTCCTCCTGATGCAGGCCAGGATCCCATTGGCCTTCTTGGCCACGAGGGCACACTGCTCACTCATGGTTAACTTGGTGTCAACTCTCCGTGGAGCTGCTTTCCAGCAGGTCGACCCCTAATCTGTGCTGGTGCCTGGGGTTATTCCTGCCCAGGTGCAGGACCCTGCACTTGTCCTTGTTGAACCTCAKGAGGTTCCTCTCTGCCCAACTCTCCAGCCTGTCCAGGTCCCTCTGGATGGCAGCACAGCCCTCCGGAGTGTCGGCCACTCCACCCAGCTTGGTGTCATCTGCAAACGTGCTCAGGGTGCACTCCGTGCCCTCGTCCAGGTCATTGATGAACAAGTTGAACAGCAGATAAGCATATTCTCAGATAAGCATATTCTCAGATAAGGTTAAATGGACTTCAAAATCCCAACAAAAGATCAAAGGATTGGCTCACAAACTGTTTGTCTGATTAACTGTTTTTGTTAGATGCAAGGCAACTAACACCTGAAGGCAGGCAGTTAGACCTGCTGTAATAGTAACAGCATTCAAAAGAATACTGTGCCTCTTTTCTCAGTCCATGTGATTTGGTGGAATGAGAATGCAGACAACCGGGCATCAGGAAGACACAAGGCCCATGARGATGCCAGAGTAGTAGCAGCTGGTAAGAGAAGCAGACTTGTGTGTCATGAAAAATACTACTCCTGTTATGACTTCTGTCTTAATTACATGTGTATTTAATTGCAGTACGGGAAAGCGTCCGATTCCTGGAGTCCCAGCAAAATATGCTGCTCGTTCCTCTGCCCTTTTCGCCACTCAAGTAGCCTTCTACTAAATGATACAGCCAATGGTAGGAAAGATASGAGACACAAGGGTGATCAGCAAGTGCCATCACATGGACCTCAGTACCTTTATGAACAGAACCAGTTGGTCTTCAGTTTARTAGGTGTGAGTGCAAAGCAGATCTCTGGCAATGTAAATTAGTAAAATGTGAAATAGAAGAGTTTATTGTAATAACCCTAGATCCCCCAATAGGAATTCAAGACATAACAGTTATAACATGAAATTCACTCTAWCTTTATTTTTAGCCCCAATTTCTTATTTTTTTCTTATTTTTGTTTGCAGCAAATCAGTAATCAKACCAATAACGTAACTGGCTCTTTTCCAAAGTCACAACTGTGCAATACTAYTTTCATACTGTATCTTGGTTACTTTTGTAATTGTTGCATCTTGGTTGTTATGTACTGGCCCAAAAAGGATGCTCCTACTTGTTGTCTCCAAARTATTGTGTTTTGACCATTTCAGTGGGATGTTTTGTAGTAATTTTTAATAGTGTTAAATTTTGATGCAATTGGAGTTATGTCCAAGAGATCATGCAGTAAATCTGGTCAAGTGGTGTTCTGATGAATGTTTATCTACTCACTAATTTCACATCATTTCAGGTCTTTCATTTTGTATTCAGTAAATGATTTTCTCAAAACTGTCAATTACAGCATAATACTTCAATTTAGCTATTTTAGTATGTTTMATGTGCTAAAAACGATTGGACCTTCACGTTCAGATGTGTATCAAAAGCCCAGCTGCTCTGCAGATGCTTACAGTTTTTGAAATACTTTTTGCCAGACTGCTAAAAGCCAATTAAATTTGTGTAATGCACAAATGCTTAGTGTTTACTTTTAACTTATTGTTCTTTAAACGGAAAGTGATAAAGCTATTCTTAAAGTACAGCATCCTGAAGGTTTTGTGTTTTGGTCACCAAAACTCTTGACAATAGCAGCTTCAGGGTTAATAAGCTGCCCCTTGATATGCTAGAGAGAGCTGCAGGGCAGAGGGCACGTTGGCCGAGGTTGTGTACAGTGTTATAACCACTTATGTGCCAGYTGGTTCAACACACATGTGACCATACTGTAGTCAACTTAAAAGTATCTTTTTTTTAAAATAAAACCAGCATGAACAAAGTGGCACAGACTACTAATGAGCTTTTCTTGAACACTAATGCAGCAGTAGAGTTCCTTTTTTTTTTTTTTTTTTAACTGAAACAAAGGTTACTAGAAGTGAAGAAGTTTTTACTAGAAACTTTTATTTTCCTTATCACTGCTGAAGAATACTCAGGGCGTTTTATACCAGTTTCATACCACAGCCAATATGCTTTTTAGCACAAGGGCTTGACAAATCAAGCACAACCTGAAYGAGCCCACATTGACTAGACTAATGCTAAAAAAATCAGTAAGTTCTAATTAGCTGCTTATCTAAATATGAGTTGTGTTGAAAACTAAATTAAATAATCGGTTGATCTTAGAAATTGGTTGATCCTTTGGATTTAAACATTCAGTCAGGCACGTGGTATTTAGAAATTCTGCAGCTGATGCAGCAGTTACACCACCACGTGTTTTTTCAGCGTTTGTTGAAGGTTATTTAGTAACTTCAGTAGATAAAATTCAAGCTTCTTCAAATCTTGCACCATCTCACTTACCTGAAAATAACATGTAGCCCACATTAACTTATGAAGATATCAAAACTTGCATCTATGATGAAAGTTCACATCAAAACAGAGGAAAAACGAAAGACTTCTAAAAGCACTCCTCAGAAGAGTATATAACTAATACCTCAGAGACCAATGGTGCTATAACAGCTTTATTTTTTGACTTAATACAAGGCAATTAAGAGTGCCTTTTAATACTTCACATAAACAGTTATTAGCAAATACAAATATATATTTTTTTTGCTTTTAATGAAAACGTCCATTTAAGGATTTAACTCAGTTCAGTTGTGAAATCTCTCTAGATTTTGCAAAGTTAATAGATATTCCAGTGCAAAAATAGATCCCATTACAGATAGCATAAAGTGCTTGGAATGAAGGACCAACTATAATTCAAGGGGGGAGTATAAGCACGAAGTGATAGTTTAACCATGGGGGAAAATACAACTCCTTACCAAAGTACAAATGTACTACAAAGAGGGATGTAAAATTTCAACAGGTATGATGTTTAAAATAAGTTAATACCTCAGTGCAGTTTCATTATCAAGAGTGGTTCATAATCATACTGAGCGGGGCTCGRGTCATTTTTCCTGATGCACAACTCTAGGGCTAAGGGAACGGTTGTCAGAAATTATTTCAGTAACTAATCAGCATGCGAGAATGTGCTGTCTGTGTCCAGTATGGCTAAAAAGAAACGGGACCAAATAGTCATGAAATAGCTCAGACTTTGAGTCACAGGGCAAGAGGAATTAAGAATCTTTTTCTGGCAGGCTAAGGAAAAATGCTGATATTGTAACTGTTATTTCCTGCTAATCAGTCACTCACACAAGCAGTTAGGAAGAGCCTGCTGTCCTTTTAGACCCCAATCTGAATCCTCCCGTAACTCTCTCTCATTCTGCATATGCCAGTTCTGCGCTCTGCAAAACTGAAGCCCTTCGTTCCATTGTCTGTGCAGAAATTGTGACTTCCGATCTGATTTGTGCTCTCATTTTAGCAGTGATGTCCTCAATACACACCATTGGTTTCACTGATACCCATAACAGATACATGCTGTTTCTTTCACTGATTCCACAGCAGGCAACCTGTGAAAGAGAAGTCACAGCTGCAGGATTAGCCCAACCATTCGGTAATGGTTCTGCACCTGGAAGTCCTGTGCATTCAAGACCCTATACTCATCAGCATGGTGTGAGGATGCCATAAAGGTAGTAACAGAGTACACTCTAAATGAGGTATACCGATCCCCATTTCTCTTTACGAGGTATACTGATCCCCATTTTTCTCCTTTCACTGTAAGGTATACCAATCCCCATTTTTCTCCTTTTACTATGAGGTATACAATCCCCATTTCTCTTTCTCTCTCTCCCCCTTAGCAACATATTCTATGGGGAAAAAAAAAAGGGGTATGAAAAAGGCACTTCAGTAGAGCTGTAATAAGCTCGTACTTCATCCCGAGGCAGGATCCAGTGGGGACTGGGAACTTGTGCAAAAATATTTAACTGTTTACGTATTAAAAATGCTGAGTTGGTTGGTGTTACCACATATATCCAGAAATACATGATTATTATTCTTCAGGCACACTCTAGCCCCTTCACTGTTCGTGGGGCTGCTGCAGGCATTTAAAGAAGAAAACGGTCAGTGACTCCTATTTATGGTGGAGCGGCACTGAGAACATATTGTGGAGCTTGAACAGGTACTTAAGGCAGAGGCAAAACCTACACAGGGATAATGCAGGATCTGCTCTTGGGTCCTGCCACATTACTGAATGTATTTCTGAATACAGGAGCAACACACATGGGCTCGTGTGTATATTAATGAAAGCATATTCCCCCATGACTGTGGAAAAATCAACAAGAATTGGCTGTCCTCACCACAGTCTCCCCTCTAATCTTCTTTGTAAAACATTTTTTCTTCTTTTTTTTAGGGAAATTGATCAACATAATTACACTAGTATTACTTGTAACTGCACTACTACTTTGAACTACCTTGTTCTTCAAAGGAAAATTTACTGAAACAGTTTCTCACAAGAACAAGAGTATATTCTCCAGTTAGGGATCACCTGATGACTGAAACTACACTGTGCTACAGAAGTAGAAACCTGCACATTAATCTAATGTTATATCAGTTTCCAAGTAGGAAAATTTTAGGTGAACAACTTACAGTAATTCCAGATAGTGGTTGATTGCTGGAGCCTGGAACTTACACAGATCATAAATGTAGCTATCACTGAATGGAGAGAATGAGAGCATAGCATCGCAGGCATAATGTAAAGGAATACTGTGGCTACAAAGATCAACTGAAAGCACTTTCAATCCCTAATTATGCTACCTACCTATTTAAAGACATATAAATAATACTGTTAAAAAAAAAAATCTACATCTCATTTCTAGTTTTATCTGGCAAAGCCAGAAATGGCAACTTACTTGTGCTAAGCAATAACTTCAGATGATGGGTACCTTTCTGGTGCGAAGCAGGGGTTAAAGAGCAGACATTACGTATCTGAGTGATGTCTTATGATTTAGCATTTGCTCTTGGCATTAGCAGCTTGTACAACCAGTGAGTTTGCTGCTGTGGTCCAAACCCTAGATCTGCTTGTCACCCACTTCCTTCCACTAGGTGTTCATGCAGCTGCTGCAGTACCTCAGAGGAGCAGGAGAGTACTTGACTACACAAAAAACCCTAGTCAGAGTAGGTTATTGGTTTTGATGCTGGTGGGACAATCCTGTGCATTTGCAGGGTTCACAGTTCTGCATATCACCACTCAGTGAAGTAGATGATAAGAGACAGGCCATCGTGTCCATACAACCCATCTGCACAGTACAGCTTTGTGGCCTCAGATTTATCCCCATATGACCTACACCAGTCCAGGAAAAGCAGATGGTCAGGTCACTTTTCACAAAATAAGGCCACAAGACTGTGTTATTTGGTGACTTTTCTTGCCACTGACTGTTTTGGTGCATTCATTGCCAGCAATGGATATAGCACCAGGTAATCCCCATTCCTGACATGAATGTTTTCAAGAGCAAAACATGCATGTCTTTAAAATATCAATAAATAACCACTGGCCAAGTTTCCTCAATTAACTAATTTTGCAACCCTAGGAAAAATATACTGTATAGGACAAGATACAGTATGGTTGAAAGCCCACAGCATCTGGTGGGTGCTTTACCACAGCTTCACAGAGTTATACTGTAATGAGCTAACTTCAAGTCTTTCACTTGAGAACAGTACAGGACAACGACTCCACGAGGCACGGCCTCCATAAAGGAATTTTGTTTTCTTTGCATTGAATTGCGTTGCATTGAATGGTTATCAGTAGAGTGTCCAGTTTCTCTGCTGCTAGCTTCTTCCTTGGTAGTATCATACCCATGCAAAGGCAGTCTGCATTCTGCTCATCATTTCTTTGCTGAAATTGACTTACACGCAACTTTCTTTCACCTTCTCATCTTGCAGAAAGGAATTAAGGATTGCAATATCTACCACAGTCTGGTTTTTGTGCAATGACAGGTCCTTAGTGTGGTCGTCGTCGCTTTGGTCCTTAGCAAAATTTACAAATACCTACAAGAGAAAAGGCCATGTCACAAATCGCTCTAGATTTTGATTAATTGATGGCATTTTATACCCCGGGCATGTCTGGATTAGTCCTAGAGTTCAGAACTAATTGTAAAATAAATAGGGCTTTGATCCCATAAACAAAWTACAGTATTACCGAATTCTCCAAAGCAACTGCCTACGAATCTTCTAATTATGTGATAAAGAGGGGGAAAAAAAAAAACTCTTTTCATCATAAAGGTTCCAAAGTTGTCCTTAGTTTTCTGTGGGGAAGAGACAGAGATACTGAGAACTTGTTCTCTCTGGTAACTTTCACATTCTGAAAAAAATTGCTTTATTTTCACTATCAGATAAAATGATGAACACCGGGATAAGGGATGGCCCAGAACAGGTATGCAGGAACAGCCATTCTAGGGGAATAAAGACATTTCTAAAAATCTAACCCCGAGAACATTCCCAAAGATGTTGCAGCATGCAAGTCTTTAAACTTACTTGCTCATGGCTTAACTCATCCCTTTGGTCAGCCATACAAGTTGGGCTCACTTTGCCGAAATGCTTTCTTAAGATAGCGTCTGTAAGTTGGTGGATTGATTTCTGTTCTACTGGAAGGTGTTTTGTCACACAGGCTCCTA